GAGAGATTATAGAGTATTTGTAATGATTAAATGTTACGGATAGTTAAACCGTTATACCCACAAGTGAATAGTTGTACCTCTGTACTCAATGCTCTCACTCCATAAATAAGGCTCGTTTTTTTTAGTTTACAAGCAACAAGTTGGTGTGGTGGTAAAAAGGAGTACAAGATATATGCAAGGTTCAAACCCTCCCATGCATTCTTTAAAATAGTTTCAAAAAAAAAATATTAACCAAATATTCATTAATATTACCTAAATACTAATTAATAACTATTTTCTCTCTATAGAAATAAATTTCCAATAGTAAGTACTTCCTTTCACTAAAACTAAAAAGCAACTCTAAGTGCATTGAAGGCTCACTAATTTAGTGCTTTAAATAGGCGAGATGCCCTCTATTTAGAAACTTGACATTTTGAAGAAGATATGTTGAAGGCTAATCAAGTATTTCCATTGTGGTAATCCTTTTTTTTTTTCTTTTTTTTTTTTGGCAGCATGTACTATCTTAGAGCTTGTTGATAGGATTTTTATAGTTCTTTTTATTAGTTTCTTTATTGAATTTGAGTTTGTTCTTATGGTTCTTTGTTCTTTTACTATTAACAATTTTTTATCATACCATGACTAATTTTACCTATAGTTGTATATTTCTCTTGGTTTTTGTTGCGTAATGTGATTTTGTGAATGTTTTGAAACCTATAACAATCAAGTGAACATGCCTTCAAGGAAACTAATCTGACTAAATCAATCAACAAAAAAAATTGCAAAAATCATCATCATCATTAGAGTTTTTTTCCAACTATTTAGAGTTGGTTAAAAAATTAATTAAAAAAAAATTGCAAGCCAACTATACAATCGATTCCATGGAAACTAGAATGATTCTTGGTTCTGACTATGAAACAAGCCAACCACAACCATTCCCAATTTTGATCAAGGCAATTACCATCTGGATCACCGATTTTTACAACCTTGAATTGTTCTATTTAAATTTATAAGTACATGTTTTATATCAATTTCGTTCATGCTCTTATTTTGACTTTGATTGTTGATTCACAATCGTACTTTTGGATATTTCCCATTAGAGTATATGAATTAAAATCTTATGATTAACCTTCATGTACCACCTAAATTTATGTCATTTTTTGTATTTTTTTAATATGAGATGCTTAAAGCACACATACAAAGCATGTGCATTCCACTGCTTGAATTTACTCAAGCCGATCAATCTGATGTTATGCGTTGATTATATACAAGCAATCCTGGCAATGCATTTTGCAGTTTTTGTAAATGGTAATAGAATTTTTCCGAACATGAGTAAAATAGTTACTGGGCAGAAAATCAAGCCCCTCGCCCTCACTTGAAGTTATTCAAACTTGAAAAAAATGAAAAGATCACATGACAGTCCCTACAACTTCCATTCTCCCAGTGCATTGTAACAAACATTGCATCAGCTTTGCATAATACTACTTGAAAGTACCAACAATAGATGCAACGAGCTTTTAATGCATACAATGTATAGACAACTGCCCTTTTGGGTTATTAACCTTTTAAGACCATAGGCTTCTAGCAATATTTCAAAACACTGAATCGGAACCCCAATCTAGACCGATTTAAATTCCAATCTAAATTACCAAATTGATACGCAATATTGCAAAGAAAATTTAAAAAAACAATTAGCTCAAGCATTGAACATAATCACCCACCAACCGATCCCTATTCTTGACCAGGCAATTCTAGTCTAGATCAGCAATTGTAAAAGCATGGTTTCTAGTTACCACAAGGTCAAAGAGACATGCAACTTCTCTTATGATCACCCAATATGATGTTTGAGACAATAAGCTTTTCTTTTTTCTTTCGTTTTGGATAATTCAATGGGGAAGACGGGCCCTTACCCATTTTTTCAATAGATTAGGGAGTTACATTTTGTATATGTTAATTGGAGATGTCAACAATAGGAATGGATACAACGATGTGGCAACTGAGTGTGGGGATACTACCACCACTACCTCAACCCCTTTTCTACAAGAAGCTTCTCTTAGCGTGTTCATTAGGCATAAGCCAAACTGTCCAAACACTTGCTCCATGGGAACATAGAAGGGGCAGCTTCCATTTCTTTCCCACCTTTGCAACCAACTCCAAAAATGGGGAAAAAAAATAGCAGCAGCCCCTTTTGTGCCCCCTTAGATGGTCTGGCTCACAAAGCAAAATTTCCACCAAACAAACATGCCCTTACAAGAACACCCAATCTAAGACAGCCATACGAACAAAGATAAATATACCATGAGATGAGTGGTTGGAGGGGATCATGGGCCAGTCAATGGGTGGGAGACTGATGCCCTTGGATAAACAATGCTTACAATACCAATTTTCTTGGTTATGAGACATTGTTGGGACCTCAGGTTTATACAAGCAACACTGAACAAACTAGGACAAAAGAAAATCTAGCTAGATTAAAGAAAATTGGGGAAATGGCTTAAAAGGTTTGAAAAAGTCCTGAAACACATTAACAGTTCTAAAATAATTTTCTTTTCATGGCACTGTTCACTGTTTCCAAAAGGAAACACACCCAAATATTTCTGAAACATAGGGTTCATAGTCCAAAATAAGGCATAACCCCAAGAGTCATGCCAGAAGAATCCAAAGCATACATGCAACCAGCAAAGCATCATGAATTCTCCGATGCATGCTCACACACGCATGTATATGAGAGACAGAGAAGACAGCCATTGCTTGCTACACCTCTCCACTTTCATTTTCATTTGGTGCGAGAACATTATACATCCCACAGGTAGAGAGACTGCACCATTAAAGACACAGCAACCGCTACTTCCCAAACAAGAATTTACAACAAAAAATACAGGTAGGTGAATCCTTGCCTGTCACCCCCAAGGAAGATGAATTAGAAGAACAGGACAACTTATATCAACCAGAGCTCGCAAAATTTACAGAGACATGGTGGGTAGGAAAAACCCACTAACCTCCCCTCCTACTCAAAATACAGGGCACAGTCCACATGCTTGTAAGGAAATGCCCTTCCATTACCTTGTCAAACTCTGTTTAACTGGCAATGATCACCATCTGCATTGGAAGTATCAAACTATGTGCTCTGTAAATCAATCTTCAACATATGTACAGGAATACAGTAATACACACACCTACCGCAACCAGTTCCACAAATACAGCATAATCAACCAGAGCAGAAAAAAAAACAAAAAAGCATAAAAAAAATAAGATGAACTAAACCATAAATATAACATGCCTAGGAACATTCTCCAAGGGAATTCCCCTAAATCCTAAGGTGATCCACAAGTACAGGGATAATTGCCAACATTCTACCAAATGATAACTATAACCAGGTGAACATTGAAAAAGGGATAAGGAAAATACTGCAAAATTGAACCTGTGAAAGACAAGTACTCTTGTACAGGAACCTACTGAAAATTTTGATGAAACTATTTGCCAAACCATCAAAGCAAAATACTATAAATATTATATAACAGTTGCTTGGCTCTTATGTGGTGGCTCTACTTTAGAACAATCTAACAAGATTCTGACCGTGTTACCAAATGACAAGTTACACCCTTACCGTCAGCACCGCTTTTGAAGGATGATACGTCATGTTTCAAACATAATTCACTGGATTCAAGCTCTGAGGAAACATGAACTTTCTGAAATCTGGAACTCTTCATTCTGCCACCAATAGAATGTTATGTTAAAAAGAAAATGGCTACAAACCTCAAAATATGCAACCCAATGTGGTAATAATCAGAATTCAGAAAATTATACAAGATCAAAGACACATAGAGGATGTATCACTTGGAAACACATGCAGAAGAATGTATTCACATAAATAACAGGCAGCAATGTTTGTGTGCATACATTGTTATCCTTACAAAAGGTAGTTTCTTGGTCTAGTTGAACTTGATCAGGCTGAAGGATACTAAAATGGTATCAGGAGCACCATCAACATTAATTGATGAACAAAGAATAATTCTTGACACAAAGCAAATATTATCAGATTTCTCATAAAAGTGAGACGGGCACATCTCTCAGAGAAAAGAAGGTGACAATGGACAAAGTGTTAAGTTGCCTTGGATCCCATTAGTCATTGGTTAATTTTTTTGGGTTTAAGAGTATTTTCTATTATTTGGGGATTCCTATTAACCAACTTAATAGGTAGGAGTTTATGAGGTGTGTGATCCTATTTGGACAAGGATCGTCACATGAATCCAAATTGAAGGGATACACCAATAGTGCTAGGAATTCTAAAAGTTAGGAAATTAGGAGGGCCTCATGTAGGTGTTTTATATTTATTTCTTTTCTCTATGTAAGGCAGTTTCATACAAAGAGAAACATATAGACAAGATTGAGTGCCTTTAATTTATCTAACGTAAGAGCTTTCCTGTACTACTTTCTTTCCATTGATTAGTGAAAGACCTTCAATCATCTTCGCACATGGATGTAGCCACACCTATAACAAACCACATAAAATGTTGATGTTTCTTGTATTATTTATTGGGAAAATATCAATTAAGGGGATACAACTATTTACAAAATCATTAAATAGATAAATTATTCCTATTAACACTTGAGGGCTTACTTTTTCTTTTTCCTTTTCATTTCACTTAGATTCCTCTTGAAAATAAAAAAAAATTCCAAATTGCCCTTTAGTATTTAGAATTAGGAACAATCAGGGCGTTTTAATAATTTAAACACCCAAACGGCCTCAAATGAATTTGCATGTTATACTGACTTGAGGATGATGTGGATGAAGATGCTCCAACCTTGCATTAAGGTATGTTCTCGGTGCCACTCTAATTTTCCTTCATGATGTTTTTGTATTTAATAAATTAACAAATTAAAAGAAACACGCACAGAAATTTCATACCTTAATAAAGAGTCCAAGCTGATCACAATATGTTTGACTTTATATCATTTGCTCGTATGTAATGATCATGAGAATATTGTCAGTGATGGATGCTCACACTACTCTTAATAGGTGCAAACAGAAAAGAAACATCCAAAGGAGTTATGAGAGCAAATGAGAGAACCCTAAAGAAATTAACAATGTTTAAAAGATTAATGACCCAATCCAAAATCGAGCAATCCAAATTGGGAATCTGCCAGACCGTCCTGTACCTAGCCATAAAACAGGATTCAAAGTTTTTACTATACATGATCAGAGTGCTGACATCACGACTTGGCGCCTCTGCACAACAAAGCGCAATTATGACGCAATGACTCCAACACATTACGGCTTCCATGTGAAAATCAAATGCCGTCGCTGTTTAAATGGGATTTATATATATTCTTTAGGAGATTGAATAACTTTTATATGGCTTTGCTCTCCCACGATTTTTCAATGTGGGACAATGTTTGGGCACCATACATTAGACCAAGCATTTATTTGGCTTTGCATTGTTGAGGGCACCGCATCAAGAGCGTGATGTATTTATATGACCATGCATTTAACGACGCATTAATTAAAAGTTTTTACTTAAAACCTTCCTTATATGACCATGCATTTATATGCCCGTTTCCAACTATAAGGAAGGTTTTAGAATACTATTTAAGGCACCATGCATTTATACGATGCATTTTTATAACATTATTTTTGGTGCATATTCAATGGTATTTTAAGACCTTTATATACATTCACTAGTATTCTAACAAATTTTAAATCATGCTTATTATAGTATTATAAGTTTATAACTAATAATTATACATTGATAACTAAATCTTGTATTTTATTTGTTAACTTATTTGTATTACAATTACAAATTATGCAATGTATTATCTTTTCTTATAGTTGTAAATAAGATTTTTTCAACTAGATGATATTATAATACATTTTTGATCTGTTCTTATTTGTGTATTAAATAATTATAAAATATAAAACAACAATTACAATTTCATATCTGATATTATAATTAGTTAGGTTGCAATAATTTTGAATGAATAAAGCGAATAAATAAATGTTTGATACTTTGATTTGATACTAATTTTTGATTTTATATTATAACTAATAATTATATAGACATCCAGACAAGAAAACAATGTTTCAGTATTCACCTATTTTTACAAAATAATAAAAGAACATAATGCACAACTCCTAATTTCTTTTAAAAACAAACAGAACACTATTCTTAGAGATTTATATTGATTTTTTTGAAAAACTTTTGGGACAAAAATTGCCGATTCGGCCAATTCTCCGATCCTATCCACCGATTCCCCAATCCGACAAAGGTATGGGTGTGACCGGTTCATGTCACCGATCTTTTTTCAAACATTGGAAATTACCAACTCCAAGTTTTATACCAAGTTACTGTTCATGCTTTTAACTACTAGAAAACTAATTTCTCATTATTATCAATAAGAGGGAGAAAAATCAATAAATTAAAGTTAAAACTACTCAACATCAAATTCCATAGATATAATAACCTAAAAGTCTTGTTGCTAATAGTAACTCACATTTTGCATAAAAAAGAGAGAAGAAACCATCTAGGCCTATAACATAATTAAAGAAGGGCAAATTATAAATGTATCAAAGGCAATCCTTGAAAGAAACTGGGAAAAGTAATCCAAAGGAAACAGGTGAAGAAGGACAAAAGAATCCTTACAACTAATGCTCTACTTGAAATCTATTTAACTTGTATCAAATCAACCTTACATAACTCTAGAGGTTAGTTAAAGCGTATTGATTGGCAACTGATAAAGAAAAATCTATCTCAACTAACTAAGCCATCAGTGAGAATGTTTTATTTGGCCATGATGTAGATCAATTCAACCAGGTTTTGTTCTTGCATTATGACAAGTAAGGCTAGGTCTAATAAAACAGGTCAAAATTAAGGGTTTAACGTGAAGGCTTGAATACATAGCCACAATCATCATAAGAAATTGTTCAACAAATAGGAATATATCATAAGTTCATAACTAAACATGATAACAACTTGCTATGAACTTTCGAAGGAATGCAATTGCAACATTTTTCAACTCCCATAAGCAACAAAATTCCTTAAAAGAATAGGATAAGAAGAAAAAGCAATGCAAAATGAGAAAATTTGTCAAATGTACAATTAAAATTGAAAGAGGTGTACCACATAAAAGGCCATGGATGATGGGAAACATAAGCCAGAAAGTTGGTTCACGAAGAACTTGAAACAAGTATCATGGTATTGGGATACAACATAACATTTTCAACAAAAAATTTAGAAAACGGAAACCACAACACACACCTTAAAGATGCAACATATTTCACAAGTTCTTTTTCTTGATCATCGTCATAGATAAACCATTTCTCTTGGTAAAAACCCAAATCCCAACTGCCAAAATCTGTCAAAATCAGAAATAAAATATTATAGGAAAGATTATTGTGTTTTTCTTTGTCTCGTATAAGTTTATATGTTCCATATACTTTAAATACAAACCTTGAATCATAACATGAGCTTTATCAGAGTCGCCTTTCAATCTCCAATATACCCTACCAGTCTTATCCAAAAGGATGTTCTCTGTTCGAACAGCATCGGACCTCTGGTTCCCTATAATAATCCTTGTCATGTAAAATCTCTGTTTGCAATTCCATATACTTAAAACACTAATGGGCTCATCAATATGCATGCCCGTGTGCGACAAACAAATATTCATACAAAGTTTAATACAAGAATCCAAAAATCTTAATCCAGTCAAACACAGAAACAAACAAACAAAAAAAATACTATTTTCACCTAACGTATGAACAAAGCATGACTCTCTTTGATATGCAAGAGAGCTAAAAATTAGTTAAGTTTCAGGTGAATCAATATTTAAAAACCCAGCTCGGGGACCTGAACCGGGTGCATGCTAGGTCCGAATCGAACAAGCCGACCCAACAAGTTAGCCTGGGGGACTTGGTCAATATTAAAGAAAACAAGAAAACACATGAAAAAAATATAAAAAATGGCCAAAAAGAGAGAAAATACATTAAATCAAGCACTCAAAATCAAAATATTGATCTCATACTATAGGAACCATAAATCAAAATCAAATAATACAAATAAAAAAACCATTTAGGAAAAAAAAAAGCAGAAAAAAAAGGCCAAAAATAATCAGAACCAAAATTCAAGATTTTTGGTTTTGATTCAAACAAAGAACAAAGTCAAGGCTATTGCAGATCAATATGATAGGGAACATTTTGGGATAGATTAGAATGAATTTGCTGAGAAAATGAAAGAGTAATCAAAGATTTCTTATTTCTATTTCAAGAAACCCCTAAAACTGAAAATTTTGATTTTGCTTAATTTAATATAGGGATAGGGGTTTAATGGAGGGTTTAGATACAAATAATTTGAAATGAATTTCAAGTTCTTTTTGGTAAGAATCAAGTCAAAGATTGGAAGAACAATGGATTGGATGTGATGGGATCCTTCGTTTATACTCAAATATAGCCCAAGAGAAACCCTTACCTGGGAAGACATCTCCAATCCTAGTGTCTCTATCCAATCACTCATGAGCATTCTTCATATCCTTAGATGTGCTGGGATCCTTCTCTTATGTTCTTTTGGCTTACTACATATTCAAGACTCTTCACCATCTCAGGAACTTTTTACATGGCACAACATCCTACCTAATACACTAAGATGATCTTTTAACCTATTTATCCCAACATTTGAAAAATGACCTTAAAAATTGCACATTATTTTATTTTTATCATTTTTATCCGCATTTATACAGTGCTTCCATCCCGGATCCCCATTCCTAGTAGACCCCAAAAGAGACATTTCGCATCTCATAAAGAAATCTCAATTACAAATATTGTCTACTAACCTTTTTGCTCAATCTCTAAACTTTGTTCTTTTGGATGTATATCAAGCTCAAGAACACAATTAATAACCTCAAATGCAATCCAATAATGATTTAAATAAGAAATGGCAAAGTTTCAAATAATTCTTCGAACTTCTTAAAATTTTCTCAATTAAAAAGAAATGCAAAAACAATGAATTTAGGTGTTTTTAAGGCATAGGAAAAACTTTTTCATAAGTAAAGATGAGTCAAAAATGCCTCTACCAAAAATCAATTTTTTAGTCAAAATGTCCCCAAAATTATCCAATGACAAGAGCTGCTTGCCCCAAAACTAGGCGCCAAGCACCCCTCAGCCCACTTGGGGGGGGACACCTAGGAACCTACAGCTAAAAAGACCACTAAGTCCTAGCAACAGGGTCCAAGGCCCCTTGGATACCTAGGGGTTGGTTTGGGTAGTTTCTTGGATATTGTTATTAATTAGTAAGACTGGGCGGATATGCCACGATATAATAAACCCTCCTAATGAATAACAATAGATTTATCATCCAAAAGAACCTATTTAAAAAAAAAATTAACTCCACAAAGCTATTTTTGCATACGACATTCAAAACTTGATCCTATATAGGGATATGCTGCCATATACCTATTTTGTTCTAACGTTGGACTAATCTTTGATTCTATGATTTTTCATTTGTATTCCATATGTAAACAAAAATTTTTGACATGCATGGATTATCATAATTATGCTTAAAACCACATTCTAATTTCAACATGTTCGTGTCTTCTTGTTCTCTAGGTTTTTATTTTTTAGGCCTTTTATATCTTTAATTATTTTGAATAAAGAAACATGATGTCATCAAGGCACCAACTTCTCCAGCCAAACCAAGGCAAGCTTAGAAATCAATATGTAATGAACCATGTTCAAAAATTTGATTGCCCAACAGCCTAGGCGAAAAATTTAAAAAACGCCTAAGCACAATATGGGCGGGTACATTATGTGTTTTGCATCCAGACACCCCCCTAGGTGATCTGGGTACTACAGAGGCACTATTGTCTGGGCGCCACCCCGTGACAACTTGCAGACAGCGGAAAAAAACCCTCGGGTGAAGGTATTCTAAACCCTCATCCTATGTAATTTTTTACCCCTAAAAAGGGGAGAAAAGGGTTTTAAGGGTATTCTAAACCCCCAATAGAAAATCCTTGGCCTTTAGGGTGAGAAAAACCCTCAAAAACCACTATTTTGTGATTTATCAAAAGATAGATAAATTTTTTATTTTTTCGATTTCTTCCCAAAACGAAGGCAATAGTTCGTGGGTAGATTTTGAGCTTCTAATAGTTGATTTTGAGAACTTTTAACGACCCAATAAATGAGATTTGCACCGACATCGATTTGATTTTGATATTTTTAAAGTATTGTCATAATTGAAAGAGGGTTTTGATTTATTTTGCTACAACATATTATGTTATGAATCATGTGTTTTTTCTTTTTCTTTTTTTTCTTTTACGATATATTTACATATTCGCAGTTAAAATATTGATTTTTTTTTGGTGATTTATTGATATTTTTCTCACTTGGACAATAAAATTGAGCATATATCGTATTCTTTTATGAGTAATTGATTCCTTTTTTGTACAATGTGTCTTATTTTGATATTCTATTTTTTTGTTTTAGTTTATTTGATAAATAATTGATTATGTAATATCTTAATGTAAATCTTATGTGAAAGTGAAATTAAAGTCTTAATATGTCCTATATATTCAGTTATTCATTTAAGTCTTATTGTAAATTAATACTTAGCGACTTAATTCTTTAATCTTATGTATTTTACAGGTTTGTTGATTGGGTGATTGATTCTAAATCACATTACTCAATCAAATATTATTCATTGAGGATAATGGCTTCTAATGCATCAAGTAGGCCAACTAATCCAGACTGGAATTATAGAACTTGTCGAAATCCTCTTGACAAGAATAGAATCAAGTGCAAGCCTTGCAAAAATTGTTATAATGTCGGCATTAACAAATTGAAGAAGCATTTATCCGGCATTAAAGGGGATGTGGCATCGTGCACTCTAGTTCTTGCTGATGTCAAGAGAGAGAATCTAGAAAACTTGGAGGGGGTGAGAGCCAAAAAACATGAGGTGAGATTAACACGAGATCAACTTTGTAGGGGCTGTAAATATAAGTGGATATCAAAGAGAAGAAAAAGACATCTACATTGAGGTTGGTTCTTTTAGTAGGCCAAGAACAAGAGGGCCTATGGATGCTTTCTTACCTCATCCTGATCCTGAGGAACTACCACGAGAAAGGGGTCAGACAAGCTTAGAGACCCATATGAAGAAGGATCAGAGAGAAAGGGTTATCCAATATCTGGGGAGGTGGATGTTCCAAGCAAGCATTTCTTTTAATGCCACTAATTGAGTAGATTCCAGGCTTGTTGAAAGCAGTGGGCCAGGTTGAGGGCTCCAACTGCTTATGAGCTTATAGGGCCAATACTTAGGAAAGAAGTGGAGCTAACGAACAACTACTTGAAGACCCACACTGATGCGTGGGGTGAATATGGTTGTACAGTAATGATCGATGGCTCGAGTGATAAGAGGCGCAAAGCATCATGAATTTGATGGTGAATTGTCCATTAAGGACAATGTTCAAGAGATCTATTGATGCTTCAAACAAGTCCCATGATGTACAGTTCATTTTTAATTTGGTGGACCAATGTATAGAGGAGATAGGGGAGGATAAAGTCATCCAAGTTGTGACCAATATGTAATCTACTAATATTACAACCACCAGATTTTTGATGGACAAGAGGCCACATATTTTCTGGTCTCCTTGTGCAACACATTGCATAGACCTCATGCTTAAGGTCATTAGTAAGAGGAAGATGCTTAGGACAACCATCGAAAAGGCACAAAAACTCACAATTTATTTGTACAGTCACACTCAGGCATACATTTTAGTATTATACTAGTTTCTTTGGTTATTAGTTACTTATTTTGAGTATTTTTAATGCATTGATTTATTGAGGGTAATTTACTTAACTTACGGAATTCTATGTTGGTCAAGTCTTAGCCATGATGAGAAAGTTTACTGAGGACTTGGTGAGGCCTGGGGTGACTAGATTTACCACCTCGTACATGTCCTTGCAATCTTTATATGAGCAGAAGGGCAAATTGAGGCCTATGTTTGTGTCTGAGGATTGGACCAAGTCCAAGCGGTGCAAGAAAGCTGATGGAAGAGTTGTTATGGAAATTACCATGGACTCAAGATTTTGGAACCATGTCCATTATGCCTTGTTAGTCTTTCACCCTTTGATAAAGGTTCTCAAGTTGGTTGATGCTGAGAAGAAACCTGCTATGGGGCACATCTATAAAGCCATGCCGGATGTGAAGGAAGAAATGGGATGAAATGAGGTATGGCAGAAAGCGGATAAGAATGGGTTCCTCCTAACAATTAGGAAGAGAAACGGGTTACTTGAGACTGAGAGGGAGGGAGATTTACATGAGAAGGAGAGAGTGTGCTAAGGAGAGAAACATGTGGGGGAGAGAGTTCTTGTGGTTTTTTTTAATTTCTAACAATTAGGAAAAGAAGGGGGTTACTTAAGACTGAGAGGGAGGGAGACTTACATGAGAAGGAGAGAGGGCTAGGGGGAGAAACATGTGGGGGAGAGAGTTTTTGGGTTTTTTTTTTTAATTTTATTTATTTTTATTTCCTTTAGTTGTATTTGAAAGGGAAGAACACCCCTTTTTTAAACTTGATTATTTCTAAAGAGTAAAGAAATTCTTTTGATCTTGTGAAGAGATCATTAGGTGGAGTCCCTTGTAGACCCTGAGAGTGGGTATATTCTTATCTCTTTATTTATTATTTTTATTTTAATTATTTCTTTTCCAACTTCCCTCCATTTTCTATACATCAATTGGTATCAAAGCCAGTCGATTGAACCTTGAGATCCATAAAATATGATGCTTTCACAAACATTTACGGATTTAGTTATGAAATATTTGAGTTATTGGATCAAAAATTTGAGAGTCAAACAAGACCTGATAGAAGTATTATAAGATCTCTTCAGTAAATTGATTCATGAGGAATAAGAATATAAAGATCTAGAAATCTAGAAGATAAAAAATCAACCATCAATCCAAACATTAATCACACACCACAACTCCCTTCGGAAGTTGAACTGATTATTAGGCATGAAATACAAATGGTTAAGCTGATTGTAAGGCATGAAGTACAAGTGGTGGAAGGTGCAAGAGATTTCAACTTACAATTGATTTTCCAAGCATGTTGCAACTCTATTGGATTAGGCCCAACAATCAAACGTTCAATATGAGAAAGGTGAAAAGTTCCAGTTGGAACAAAGCAGAGAAGATATTGAAGAAAAATTTTGAAATCCATAAGTTCGAGGTCAAGCTTCTCCCAACCTAAGAGAATGATGTAATGAATTTTTTTATTTTTTATTTATTTTACTATTTTTTATATTTTAGATTAGATTTATTTGGGTCATTAATTTTCTTTAGGGTTATTTTTATCTTTTTTATGTGTAGAGATTTGACAGTTAAAATTAGAATTTTATATTTTTTAAAGATAGGATAAGCTACAAAGAATATGGGGGAAAATAGATAAAGATAGGGACTTCCTAACAATTTGGAAGAAAAGGGGGTTACATGAGACTGAGAGGGAGGGAGATATACATGAGATGGAGAGAGGGTTATGGAGAGAAAAACATGAGAAAGATAGAGTTTTGTGGGTTTTGGGGTTTTTTATTTTATTTTTTTATTTCATTTAGTTATATTTAAAGGGAAAGATGTCCCTGTTTTAAATTTAGGGTTATTTTTATTTCTCATATATAGAGATTTGAGGGGTAGAATTAGAAGTTTACTTTTTTAAAAGACAGAATATGCTAAAGAGAATATAGGGGAAAATAGATAAGGATGGGGACTTCCTAATAATTTGGAAGAGAAGGGGTTACATGATACAAAGAGGGAGGGATATATACATGAGATGGAGAGAGGGTTATGGAGAGAAAAACATGAGAAAGCGAGAGTTTTTGTTGGTTTTTTTTTATTTCCTTTAGTTGTATTTAAAGGGGAAGGATGTCCCTGTTTTGAACATGGTTATTTTTTAAGAGTAAAGAAATTGTTTTAATCTTGTAAAGAGATATTTGATATGGACTCCCTTGCAAACTTTGAGAGAGGGTATATACTTTTAGCCCTTTATTATTATTTTAATTTCATTTATTTCTTTTCCTTCTTCTCTACATCACTTATGAACCCCACAAATGCAACTTTTTGGCTTGGCAAGAAAGTTTTTTCAAACTTGGGAAAAGTGAGCATTAAATGAGGAAAAAGTTGAGCATTCTGGAAGAGTCCCACTAAGCAACATCTATTGGATGGTCCTCTTGTAAAGAAGTAGCAAACCAATAACATGTACAGAGAATAACATTGATGATATAAGTTTATGACACATGTATCTTGACTTTTTTCCTTTACATATTTTTCCCTCAAAATCTTACCAGTACTTTAGGTTGAAAATATATGCAGCATTATCACAGTTTTGTTGATATCATATTTAGGCAATCATCCTATAGATTGAATATTAAAATGCTCTAGCAAGTGAACATATTAATTAATTTGTGAAACAGTTTTCTTTTGGAACTTACCAAGAACCGTGAACTTCTGCCTAGTTAAACCATGCATAACTGATTCCATTACTATTACTAGTTCGAGTAATGCGCATGCCAAATCCCAAGCAGTAATCACAAAGCATGAACTTAAGAAAACAAAAGAAGTCATTCCATAGACTTACAAATATATAACATAATTTACTCCAATGACTTATGCCACCCATTTATAAAAGGAATGAATTGTAGCAAAGCACATTTACACAAGGTAAATTATTATGAAAGTCATCATGCAAGTAAAAAGTTTTCATATTATGCAAAACAAACTGTGGTTAGTAAAAAATGTTAGATAATCCTGTTAGGTAGAAGTAAAGCATACTTAATTTAGATGCCGCTTCCAATGCTTCTGATATCTGTGCATAAGCCTTCTCAGACTCTCTTTTTATCTTAGAAACAAGATTTTCATGTTCATGAACTGAAGCTGGAGTTCCATTTCTTGAAGCTAGAAGAATTTGAGGTAACTCATCTCTCATTTTTTGCTTCACAATCTTTGCCTGCACCAAAACAACTCTGATATAAGTAAAAGTAAGTGATTTGATCATTATGAGCTACAAGACAAAAACAGAGACCCTTTCTTTTGCAGCCAAGACTTTTTCTTTCCCCTCCTTAACTCTTTTAATAAACTTTTCATTTTCTTCATCAATCCAACTTCTGAAGCACCTGAAGAATATGTCAAAACATATATCAATATAAGAAATTATCCTTCTATGCCATATGCCATCAGGAAGCCATTACAAATAGAGAATTACATACTCTGTACCAAGAGCTTCATCACAAAGAAAGTTCATTATTTTCAATTTTTTTGAGGGCTCAAGCTTATCGTATCCATCAGATCCGTTATTGAGAAAACAGAATGGAATTTCCTTCAAAGAAGATTGTGATTTGGAGACATATTTTTTGAGAGCTTCCACCCATGAATCCGAATTGCTCATTGAATATGGGATGGGCGAACTGGTCAAATGCAGAGAAAGTATCATAAATTACTCTATTTAAACATAAAGGAGAACATGACATTCAGCTTGTTAGTGTCACAAAGCTTTGGCCAAAGAGTTTACTCTTCTTCCAAGTCCTTGAGCATCAAGGACAATAGTTTCATATGAAATTGAAGACTTGAAGAATATATTCCTCGACGTCCAATGCGTCCACGTGTTATTTCTCGTAGGACTGATTCTGATTGGCCTTTCTTTAAATCTAGAAACTGGAAATGACACTACCCTTGTCAGTGAAAATCAGGGTAAAAATACAGGATAACAATTCAATGTCGAGCATCAATTATCAAGGGCACTCCAATTTTGTTTTCAAATGATTCAAACAAAAGAGACTGAATGTGAAACCAAGATAATTATGAATCAGAACATTGTGTCTGGATGCCAAGAATCAGCAAACCACAACAGTAAACCACGCCCAAAATATGACAGAATAATATGGAAAAGGGCAATACCATTCATGGCTCAAGCACACCTACCAATGATGGCTCAAACAATAAATAATCATTACAATCTTCATTTATGAACATGATAGCATATGATGACAGATCAAATATAGGCTAGTATGTTCCTTGACTTTCAAAATCAAACATTGAAGCATGACATGAAAGAATAACCCATATGAGCTTGTTTTGAAACATTACTTGTGCAAACTGTTGAAAGAATCAAAAAGATTCAGAAGACAACTAGCCCAATCAGGTAAAAGAACAAAGATCAGCATTTGGCACATCTCTTTAGCTATATCAGCTATAAATTCTTCAAAGCAGTGTATCAAAAAGCGCTAGGCAGGTCCTAGGCGGCCTGAGGGGTCCAAGCCGCCCAGCACCTAGGCGGGTGCCCAAAACCTAGGCAGCTGCCAATTGAAATTTGAAAAAAAGTAAAAACCATACCAAATTATTACCAATATAATATCATATTTCAAGTTGGAAAAAAAAAAAAGATAGACGTTGAGAAGAGAATTTTGATAATCCATATTGTTAAAACAGTAAACTGTAAAACCATATAAGTGTAGGTAGGATATAAAAGTCAACACTTAATACAACAGAAATTTAGAAAATATACAGTATAATAAAAGTCAACACTCATGACTCAACACAACAGTCAACAGACTCAACACTCAACACCAAGAGGCAAGAGTCTTCAATCGTCATTGTCATCATCATCATTATCAGAAAGAATATCAATAGGGCAAGCCTCATCATATGCATCTGAGTCGAGACCATCATCATCAAACTCATCTCCCTCTTCAATATAACGCTCGTCCTCCTCTGTTTCTTTTGAATCTGCCTCTTCCTCTTCCTCTTCTTCTACCTTCCTCTTATTAGTCTGCGGAAATGAGGTCCTAGTAGTCTTGGCTGCTCTACCCTTTTTTTTGTACTTCTTTGAACTCAAATATTGTATAATTTCCTCCTTGATAGCCTCAGGAACATTTTTACAAGTGGCAACATCCCCCTTAATACCAGCAAGATATTTTTTAAATCAGTAAATGCCTCCATTAGTATCATTTCCATAATAGTTACATTTAATACAATTTTTATCACTTGGATTCGGGTTATAACCATACTTCCAACCCGGATCACCACTTTGTCTAGAACCTGAACAAGATACTTTCACAGAACAAGGCTTATTTTCAACATTTTTTTGTTCTTCAAAATTCAGAAGATATCTAATCTCATCCCGAACTGCTTCAGGAACCTTTGTACAAGAAGCAACATTACCTCTAACACCAGCAAGGCGTTTTTTGAATCGGCTAATACCCCCATTAATATCTTTTTCACAAAAATTACACATTATACAATTTTTATCATTGGTTTTGGGTTGGACCCATACTTCCAACCCGGATCACTTTTTCTAGGAATAGCAAAAATAGATCTATGACAAAGATTTTGTTCTTGTTTTTGTTTTACATATAACTTATAAATTGCTTAATCTCCTCTCTGATAGCTTCAAAAATATTTTTACAAGGGGCAACATCCCCCTTAATACCGGCAAGATGTTTCTTAAACCGGTCTATTCCTCCGTTTGTATCTTTTTCACAAAAATTGCATCTAACGTAATTTTTGTCATTTGGATTCGGGTTGTATCCATATTTCCAACTTTAATCTCCACTCCGACTAGCTCTTGAAGAAGATATCTCAAAATAAAATAAGCAATCTAAAGTTACACTTACTTTGGTTGTTCGAACTCCAAACTTTAAGAAACACTTCGATGATTTAATCCAATGGAATGTAATTTTTTGAGGTTTTTTTCTCTCCAAAAGGGTTTCTTGGGGGATTTAGGTTTCAAATAAACCTAAAACCTATCTTTCTAAACTTTTATATCTTGGAAAAAACAAAAACAAAACAAAAAAAAGTTATATTTTTCCACCTCTGGGCGAGGTGCAGGCCCTTGGCGGCCGCCCAGGGCTGGGCACTGGGCAACCACCTAAGAGGGTTCCGTACTGCCTAGGCGGCCGCCTAGGGACCACCGCCCAATTTGGCGGCCTAGTAGGCAATGCACCCAGGCCTTCTAGACTGCCTAGGTGGCCGCCTAGGCCCTGAGCGATCTGCTTTTTTGAACAATGCTTCAAAGAAGACCTAGAATGAAAAAGAATGAACCTCAAAGCAAGACAAAGCCTCAAAGATGTAGACAGAATATGGTCTTGGAATATGTGTAGAAGATGTAGACAAAGATGTAGACAGAATATCTGTTACCACACTCTTTAGACAGACATCAGACAACTGTTTAGCTACTCATGTTATAATTAAGATGGTTAGGATACAATTCATGAAGGGTGCATTATTTCTTATGCATATAGCACCTGCTTATGCACAACAGTTCCAAATTATAAGGAAACATTCATGAAATGAACTCAAAATTCTGTGTAGTTATTTGGAAAAATCCCTCCTAAGGTTGTGTTTACTTGTGCAATTTTTCTTGGAAAGGGTCAAAAAACTTTGTGATCAAATAATAGGCTCCTTTAAACATCAATTCATAGAAAAAAGTTGAAGCTGCAATTACACCAATCTCAAATGCTACTTTGCTATTGCGCTAATCCCAAAAACATAGTGGCAATTACATTTACACCAATAAAAAAACTTTAAACTGAACAGGAGTCAGAAGTCATAAAAGTGAAACAGGATATAAGTAGATGAGCTTCATAATATCAAGATCGTAAGTTGTTAAAAAATGTGAATTTAAATTTTTATCTCGAGGCACAGAAGCCACAAAGCACAATTCATCCATGATTGCAAGATTAATCAAATCAATTAAAAGTGCGATCTACATTCTCCTGTGCATAAATCGAACAATGGAATCTTACGTTCCCAAATGCAGCACAAAACTCCAAAAATTGCAAAGCTGGCCCAACATCATCATCAGGTAGATCAACACCTGCAAGCTCTTTCAAAGCATTGCCTTGAGGCAAATCAACATTTGCATCCAGGTCTAGAGCTGCTTGTTTTTTTTTTTTCCTGAGATTGATTGGTTTTCCCAACTCAAAAATAACTGTGCAACACTGTTTCTGACCATTGATTTCCACATCCTCATCAACAGATTCCTTCTTCTGATTTTCTCTGACAGCCTCATCCTTCCCCTCGTGTAACACTTTCCTTTTCTTAGATTGCTTCTCCAATGTCAAATGTGAGACTTTCTTCTCTTGGGGTGATTTAGGAGATTGATTGCCTTCTGAAACCTCAAGAGAATCACGACATCCATTAGGATTAGTAACACCCCTCTTTTCTGTTTTCTTAAAAACAACATTTTGGCCCTTGTCTCCAGAAACTCTCAAATTACCATTAATACCAACATCTCCCTTGCATGAGTCACCCCTGCTAGCTTCTTTAATAGGTGCATCACCTATGACCCTCCGGGAATCTAAATTTTCTTTTTCCTTGGATGCCAGTCTAGGCTTTTTGGACGTCTCTGAATTAGCCAAGCCATCATTTGCACATGCATCGTTTCCATTTTTCTTCCTCGTTCTGCACTTCTTTTTAGAAGACACAAGTTGCTGAAAGATCAACCACCAATTGTTACCGCTTTATATCTTTTGAGAAACAAACCCAAGAAATCAAATGCAGAAAACCCACCAACCTTATCAGCAACAACATAATCATGAGGATCATTCAGAACCTCTTTAGGACCCAATGTTTCAGAACAGGGAGGCTGTGTACATTGTTTCTGTTAATATTCCAAGTGAAGTTTTTTATTAAAAACAATAAAGCATGTGCCTATATATCGCTGGTAAACTTTGTGACATTTATAAAAACCACACATCAAATGTAAAACAAGCTGATTGCTTACTGAAGGAAGGGTATTGAGCATTTCAGAAACTGAAGAAAACCCTGTAGCCTTTGCTGTATGTGCAAGAATTCCTGTTGGCTCTTGGCCTCTCTTTTTCCTACAAAAAGAATATATTGATAGCATTGTGTTTCTATCGAAATAAACACATGATCCATTTAGCCCCCACCCTTCCAACCCCCTATCTCACAAAAAAAATAACAATAATGAATATCTGCAGTATCATTTTACCCAAAAAACAAAAGAAATGTATTCAATTTTCCCCAAAAATAAGAAATGCATGATCAACTATGAAATGGGGCAACATTATTTATTTTCTTCCATTGAAAAGGAATAATCATGAGCAATTTACTCCAAAAGAAAATAAGAAATGAATAACATACTATCCAACCATGAACATTACTTTTATCAAATTCAAACAACCATGGGTTGTTAACTGCCCACCCCATAAACCCAAACCAAAATAGGAAAACCACCCTACCCAAAAAATAAAAAATAATAAGTAAATATTTATTCAGGAGAAGTTATAGACTTGCATGCAAAAACTGCAGTTGCATATTCCTCTGCATTTGGGGCAATTCCATCCATCCACACCGGCCATCTCCTCAGCATTCTCTCCATACCTAATAAAGAAAAGCATAAATGAACCCAAATCTAATCTAATCTAATCTCAAAAATCTGTCGAGAAAAACATAACACTGCTCATTTCTCTGAAGAAAAAGTGGTTGATTTTTTCTAAGCTACCTGTTCAAGAGGCATTTGTGACAGAAGTTGATGGTGCACGGCTTTCCCTGCCGCATGTTCCTGCAAGACGCCATGAAATCCATGGTCTTCTGCCGACACTGCACCCAAAAAACAGGAATGAAATACCCAACAAAGATAATAACAACAGTATGAAGTGAAAGGGAAGAATTGAATCTGGTTACCTGATGACAAGTTTTGCCATTCTCAGAATCATAGATCCTTCCACTGATCACACGAACTCCAGGAGATTTGATACGTGTCTTGCGAGGAGACGAAGGATTGGCCGAGAGTTTTGGCTTAACAGGAGAAGCCTTTACAGAGCTCTTGTTTGATACAGCCATGCTTGCTCTAGTGGAGGTACTGTGTGTATATATGCTACCATAGAAACAGAGAGGTACTGTGTATATATGCTACCTCTCCAAGTTTGCAGCTAGTGGTGGCTAGTGGGTCGCGGGCGAAACCTTGGCGGGACAACCCCACCTTTCAATTAATTTGAATCTCACAATTTCGGATCTTTAATCCTCTTTGCCGCCGAAAATTTATTAACAGAGGCAAGGGGCATTGCTTGGTTATATTGGAATTTGAGAGAGGCAAAGAGAGGGAGGAGACACCCGTTGCTTGGGTTGGTGAGTAGTGTTGAGTGTCGTTCATTAGTGACACATTCAAGTGGAGCCATCTTCTAGGTTTAATTTGAAGAAGTAAGGGAAATTGTTCCATGAGTGAGTCAGGGCAAGAGCCAGCTGATTCTTCAACGTCCATCTTTAAGATGGACTTGTGTAAAATGCAAGGGTCAAATCAAGTATGAAAGGTGCCAAAAATATCAAAAAAAAAAACAAAACACATTTTAAAGTTCAAAACAAAAAAATTTCATATTTATGATCAGCTTGGCTTAGATGATGAATCTCTAAAATTTTGAATCAAAAATCTATCTTTAAGATAAAGTTTAGAGGGGCCTCATGTGTACATATGAGTCATCCGACTCATAGATACCCCGTCAGGAAAGTAATGTCATGATTCATTGAGAGGGAGTCGTATTCCCAAAACATCAACTCAAGAGAAAAGTATGGCTTTTTGAAATCTGATAAGCACGTTTGGAAAGGGAAAGAGTTGCATGAGGGGAGGGATTAGAGTGTCACGGAAGAGCAAGGAACAAACCATGTCATGAGGATGTGGAAATAAAAGGGTAGAAAAAGCACTCTACATTACAGTCCGTTTGGGTACCTGGAAATATATTTGCTAAATAAATTCATTACATGATAAATACATTTCGTGCTAGGCAAGTAAGAGAAGCATCTGGATGCAACCCAGAAGATAAATATCCATTATTCAAGTCACTTGGGAAGATACATTTGTCATAATCTCATTATATTCAAGTATTGTAGTTTTAGTAACATTTCTTCTTGATCATTTTAAGTTAGATTTACCCTAATATTTAATTGAATCATTGTAATATGATTTTTTCCTTTTTTTGTTAACATATACTTAGATATACTTAATATATTTATTCTATACTATATTATTAAGCCAGAGTTAAAGGGTGGATATGTATCGCAAAAATAAAAAGTGCCCAATTTAATAGAGATTGTATGACACTTCCATCTTTAAGCTAAGAGAGAGAAAAAGAGCGTACACACTTTCACATCTTAATTAGAGATAGAAAGAGCACTTCCAACCCAATCACATAATCTTAGGGATAAACTGATTTCTTTCTGAAATTTAGATGGTGTCATATCTTAATGAGAGAGTGCACTTCCAACCCAATCACATAATCTTAGGGATAGAGTAATTTCTTCCTAAAATTTAGATAATGTCATATTCTAATGAGAGAGAACACTTCCATACCCAATTAATTTTCTTTCTAAAATTTAGATGATGAATATAAGGTTAGAAAGTAGTTAATGATATGAGACAGATGGAGATAGATTTAAGGAGAGGATCTGAATGGGAAATATGTACATATTTTTTTAAAGAATATCTTTTGAAGCCCAAATTTTTTGTCCAAGTAAAAAATCCACGAGATATTTAATACCCACTAAATATATGAACTCTAAATACAAATGAAGGGCGAGAAAGTGGTAAGTTTTTTTTTTTTAATAATAAATATATGATATAAAAATTTAAATAGAAATACAAATATTGGAGGGAAAGCATCTCCCATCACACAACCACGTTTATTTTGTTGACAAATGTCATTTTTTAAATTTTATTATCTATTTTTTATTATTTATTAGATATGCATGCAAACTCCTCTTTATGTCCTCTCTATATATTTAAAACCATATTAAATATGCATGCAAATTTGTATGGCTTCTCTCTATATATATTTAGAACCCTATTTTGATAGGCATGCAAAATTTTTGGGGATGATATCTCATTAAATATGCATGTAAGCTCCTCTTTTTATGGCCTCTCTCTCTCTCTTCACATTTAAAATGTAGTCTCTCTCTTTTTTTGTAACCTAGCATATTTCTCTCTCTCTCAACGTGGCCTTTTTCATTCTGTCTTTTAATTTGGCCTCTCTCTCCACATTTAAAATCTTATTAGATCATCATCATCATAACTTTTTCTCAATTAATTAGGGTCTTATTAGATGTGCATGCAATTTTATTTTAAAATGATCTTTCATTAGAAAACCGTATTAAATATACATGCAATTTTTTTGAAAATGATCATTCATTAGATATAACTGCAAGCTCTTCTTTATATGAAACATCTCTCTCTCTTCATATTTAAACTATAATATTTCCTCTCTCTCTCTCTCAATGTGGTACCCCTATCCTCTCAACTTGGCCCTCTCTATCTTTCTACGTTTGCTAAGCTCATCAATGTACAAGGGAATGCTAATACTCATATTTATATTCAATGAAATACATTTTTGTTGCACTCTTTTTTTTTTTTATTCATTTTTTCTTCTCATAATTCTATGTTAGATATTATCAAAACCTCAAAGAGTTTTCAAGGCTAATCGTTAAGAGTTTTTTTCTTTTAAATATGTGTAAAATTTATGGAGTGAAAAAAATAGTGATTTTCTATGTTGGTGGCATATATGATTTGAGCACTCTTTTTTTTCTTTTGGGGAGAAAAAAGTAACACATTTTTTTACAACCTATAATAGGATAATTGTGCCTAATCATGTAGTAAAAGAATGGAAAGAAAGTATGGCGGACGACTGCATCAAATCGTGGCATCTGAATAAACCATGCTCTCTTAGCGAGAGCATCAGTTACCGTATTTGCCTCACGAGCAATATACCACTTATGAGGTGAGAGCACGACAATTATTAGCTATTGTTTGTAATATCCAAGGAGCACGACACGATACTGAATAACATCTACTAAAAGAGATGAGTCACTTTCTATCTGTATTGGGAAGCAACCCGACTAAATAGCCAAGAGTATACCTTCTTCTAAAGCCTTGAATTCTGTATAATTATTGGACACGCTCTCGAAATCTCTAGCAAACGCTGCCACAAAGCCATTGTTAATTTTTATGACCCCACCACCTCGTGTTGATTTGAGCACTCTTATTGCATTAGTGATACACAGCATAACACTTTTAAATGCTTATTTTATATATTCATAAAATGCAATCATGTTATCTAGCAAAATAAAATTATCCTCTATATTATAAAAGAGATTTGTTTTATGTATCTTCATATCTCATTCTTGCGTGCAACACATGTAATCCATAATTTTGTTTGGGAGTTTTGACGCATCTTAAAAGTACTTATTAAAATTTTAATTTTTAAATTAACGAATTTTAATTTAAAAATATTTTAACTTTATTTAAAATTTGTATATTGTCATTTCAAAATTTTAAATATAATTTAGTGAATTATCATGCATCCATAATTATTCATAACCAAAATTTTCCTATTATATAAATTTTAAAATGTTAGAAATAATATTTTGTCTTTACGACAAAGTATAAATTGAACTTTGTATCTTTTAAGATTTTTTAATAAATCTATATTTTATAGTGTAGTGTATTAAATTTATCTAGATTCATGATTAATGTTTAGAGAAATGATCTAATGCGATGGTTGTATCATAGTATAATACAACTACACTTCTAAAAACCCATATTTATGGTATTTGTATGACCCAAAATTTTGCACACATACTCTCTTTATCTCAATAATCAATCTAAAAATAATAATAATGATAATTTGCATCTTATATATGATCAAAACAAGTCCCCTCAAGTAATGAATCTAGACCGTCCATTTGACTAATTTCAAGATCTCGGCCATTATGAATTCAAATCATTTTTTTTTATTTTTTAATATTGTTAATCTAATGAGGGTCTAAGACCGGAGCTTAGATACTATGGAGGATTTTTAAGGTCGCTATATTAGGGGACATACTCAAAGCAAAATGCGCCTAAGAACAACCCTTCTTAACGGTAGTAGTTTGAGTGGGTGAAATGGAGTGAGAGATAGAAAGAAGGGTAAATAAGGAGAAGAGAGGGTAAGAGAAGAAGAGAGGGTGAGAGGGTAAGAGAGAGAGTAAGAAAGAGAAAGGGAGAGAGTGAGTGGACGAGAGGGAGAGAGCGAGAAAGAGAGAGGTGAGCTGGCGAATGAGCTACCAGTTTGGGAGGAGAGTGGGAGAGGGAGGAGAGAGAGAGAGAGGGACATGGGATGGGTTGGCGGCTTAGCTGCTGGCTCGGAGAGAAAGAGAGGGGAAGAGAGGGAGAAAGAAAGAGGGAGGTAGGCTTGGAGAGAGAGAGAAAGAGAGAGCTGGAGAGAGAGAGGAAGAGAGAAGAAGAAGAAGAGAGAGAAAATGATTGGGTACCTAGTGGTGAGTCGGTGGCTTGAGCCCAGGTGCTAGGTTCGGTCGCGATGGCCTTTGAGTACTCCTTGAGTGTGAAGCTAAGAGTTTGAGGAAGGGAAGATTGGGGTCTATAGATTATGGAGTATATGGATCTTTGGTGATCTATGGGTTTTGGTATAGGGAGTATAGTGGGGTTAAGTGGTGATTAGAGTTTGGGGTAGGGATTAGTGTCCAAGGGTATGAGCTCGAGGTGAAAAGTATTCTCTCTCCTCTCTTGAAAAAGAAGGCAAAAACACAAGCTCAAAGAAGTAAAAACTTGATTTTAATCTTGAATTAGCCAACCTTTTACAATCTCTCGATACTCTAGGTTACAAATAAGTAAAAGTGCTTATATAGACTCATCAAAAAATATGGGTGGATGTGCTTGGTGTATTGTTAGTCACATGCAGAACTAGGTACATTCTAACGAACGTTTGATGCGAGAATAAGATGATTGACTAAAATGATATGCCTCTGGTTAAGTATATCTTTAAATGATTATGAGTAATGGCTTTAACGCACTCTTAATAAGGATATGCAAACTCGATGAGTAAATCCCTTGAATATATGATTTGAAATGGTGGATATGCCTCTTAATCACACATTAGACTAAGTGTGTGAACACTTGATAGATTGAAGAAATTGACATTCAATAAAGCTAATAACACACGCTGGATAGCTATCTTAACACATGGTCGATGAGATACGAGTAATGTTCTTGATAATACCTACTCAGATATGTCCCATATGATATGAAATACATGATATGACCAGGATTCACCATATGAAGGTCTTGATATGCCTAAGGAGTCTTGATTCATCAATGAGTCTCTAAATAT